TGATAACCAAACTCAGACGTTTACAACAAACTTCGACGAATGAAACGCAACAACATCGCATGGCTCTATATATAGTGTTGTTAACGCCAGTGTTTACCTTCGATTGTGACTGAATAACATTAATTTGTATAGCTTTGCATCTCGGCAGTGGGTGTGGCGATGGTTAGTTGGAATTGTCGTGGACCCGTGTCAGCTAGGGTTGCTAGACCTAATTTTTCGATACTTGGTTTGACAATTTTGATTTTATTGGTGACTGGGATGGATGCTGCACCAACGATGTTTGACCAGGGTGGAACACTGGCGATTTGGGGTCCAGAGAAAGGGACTTTGGGTTCCAATCGGCTGTTTGAGGGACCAATGCAGTTTTTTGACCGGCTCAGTGGGTGGAGATCTAGGGTTGTTTGGCGGCCGTGGAGGGTAGAGATCATCTAGCGATGGATAGACGGATGATGTGGCATGGAGAATTCTCGATACATGTGATGGAGGAAGAGTCCTGAGTGTTGATGATTCGTCCCCCTCCTGAATCGCCGCCACGGAGGAACTATGTGACTAGAGTTTGAAAGAGGATGCTTGAAGTATAGATTCAACTGGTCCATCATCACTTGAAGATTATTTACTTTTGATATTTTGTGCTTTCTAATTCTTATTTGGTTTTTATCATGTCAGACAATAAGGGCGGTAGGTGCGTAGTTTGGTTCATTTTAGTTACTAGATTTCCGTTTGGAGGCAATCAGGCTGACTCAGTCACAAATAGCCTCAATGCTCTCATATGTTCAACAATTAGTCTCGCTCCTTTTGGGGTGGATTACTCTATGTTTGATCAAGGTGTGAGGGGATCGGTGGGCTTATGATTAATGTTGGTTAGAGTGAAGTTAGTGATTTTTGGTTATTGCTGCTCAGTTGTTTTGTTGGTTATAAATCGAGAGTTGATTTAATATAAAATGTCAGTTTTCCTTTCGAAAAACGTATATTTTATTCCTCAAATAGGACTCATTTATGTTGGAAATATGCCCTAGGACAATCATAGTTTATGATTTATCAATAAATATTTAATGCTCATTAATTAATAAAGTCACAAACTCATTTTATGCATGTTAATTATTATTGTGAGTTTTCTTTATTAATATTTAGTCCCTGAATATTCTGTTTAGTAGCTAATTAAGTATGTGACTTAATTGTGGAATGCTACACTTTAAAATAAACATAATATTCTAATTGTCCCTGGTCTAATATTATTAATTTGGGACATTAATAATTAATAGACCAGTATGTGGATTAACTGATGGCTATATTCCACTAGTCATGGGTATAGAGATATCAAGTTAATAACATAGATGCTTGTTAGAGAACAAGTTCATTGGACAGACCCAACTTGAGGACACTGCTAGGTTATATGTCATCAGTGTTGTCCTCAATAATGATGAGGTGCTATATTCTTATACTTGAAATAATCATGGTTACTTGCATGAGAATTAATATGTATTAACACCATTAAATGTTATCTTTAATTAGGTAATTATAAAGGTGGTGATTGTACATATTATGAACCATGTAGTAGTATGTGAATTATCAAGATAGTTTTTGTCACTCTTGTATATCGAGAGAAAGATATCTATTGGGCCCCTTGACAAGTAAGATTAATTAGCATGGCCATGCACAAATGAGGTGTCATTTGATCAAGATTAATCTTACTTGGTAAATAAGAAATATTAATTGAGAATAACAAGGATGACATGACCAAACCTTGTCTCAATTAAGGTATCATTTGACAAAAGAGAATTATTAGCACAAATTCATCATTAAAAGGTTATGTCAGATTTAATTGACATTTATATATTTTGGATAGTCATAATGCCTTGCTAGAGACTGCTTATGATTTGTGAGGCTCGAATTAATTTCTAGCCCACTGCCAATAATATATAAACCTACAGGGTCACACACCTAAGTGATTTGGATCATTAATGTTTGTTAATAACATTAAAATAGCTTGATTAGCCCAATTCGAAAAAGGGTTTCGAATGGTATTGGGCTAGGGCCTCTTTAAGGGTTTTATTAGCCATAAAACCTCTTCTTTCCTCCTCTTATAAATAGGGCCATATAGACCCACAAATTTTAAGAGTTAAAAATTCACTTCTTAAACCTAGAATAGAGAGGAAGAAAGAAGAGAACGCTAGCACGTTCCCCGCGGCCGATCCAGTCACGTGCGTGTGGATACCGGTAGAGCTCGGGATCGTTTTCTCGGACTGTCTGACATCCTTGATTAAGATTGCTATGTAAGTCCCTCTTAAATCTCGTAATTTCGTTTATAGTAAGAACCTCAGATCCGTTTGTTTTACTTTTGGGTAGTAATATTTTCGTTTATTCCGTTGCCCTTTTTCTGCCCGAAATCAAACTATTTAGTCTATTAAAAAGATAAGTTCAGTAAAGTTTCCCCAAATAAGAGTGAATGACACATGTTTTGAGAATAAAACAATTATAATCCTATTTATGAACTTATAATTGTTTTAGAATGTTACGTTACTTGGACTGAAATCAGTCCTTGATTAGATCAGTTTAGATCAGACCAGACTTGGATAGTTATAAAAATAGAAAGAGACCAGACATTATCAGACCAGGCTAGTTCAGACCAGACCATATCAAATCAGACCCAACTAGGGAATTTTTTGTCTTTAATTTTATACTCTAGCGCAGTACGACAGTATTACTTTAGTTTACTTCTACGTGGGGAACTGACACTTTTAACAACTATGGCTAATATTGGCTACCGGTTAAAATAGTATCTATCAGCTCCAATATTACGAGTATTAGGGGTGAGTTCGGTTCTTTCGGTTCGGTTTTGACCTAAAACCAAATACGGAATCAAAGTAAAAGTTCGATTCGGTTTCGGTTTGGTTTTTACACTCCAGAACTTGGAACCACAGTTTGATTGGTTCGGTTTGTTTTGGTTCGGTTTCGGTTTTTTTCGGTTTTTTTACTAAAAATTTGTTATTTGATTTAAAATTGATATAAAAGTTGGAGGGATCAAACATATTACATAAAAATGCAAGCATACTTGAACAAATAAAGAAACTAATAATAAACAAATGTCTTGAATTATATGAGTATGCAGGAGAGATAAAAGTGTGTATATATTCTTAATTTATATTGTTTGTGACTAGTTTGAAAAAAGTTTATGAATACATACGTCCTATGTGATATAACTAAGATGAATATTTATTTGTTTTATCAATATAAAAATTTAAGTTACAAAAAAAAATTAACTTACATAAAAATAAAAGTTAATTACTACTAATAACCAGTAAAAACATATAATCATGCAACAAATTGCAACATACATACATAAAAGACATAATAGATCAATATAGCTACATTACTATGGGCAATGAATGTGTAAATTCATTTATAAACTAAAGGGTAAATGGAAACTAATAATCCAACCTTTTAGCGGTCTTCTTTCAATAATCCCACTTTTTGATTATTCATGAATAATCTAACTTTTGCACCTCATCTTCATTCACTGGTCTCTAACCGGTTGATGACCTGCTATTCCAAGGTATTTTCTTATCTTTGCAAATCATTATAACATAAATCTCATCTTTCACAAAGATAATATTTTGCAAAGATAAGAAAAATAACTTGGAATAGCAGGTCATTAACTGATCAGGGACCAACGAATGAAGATGGGGTGCAAAGGTTGGATTATTCATGAATAATCAAAAGGTGGGATTATTGAAAGAAGACCGCTAAAAGGTTGGATTATTAGTTTCCATTTTCTCTAAACTAAACTAAACATATCATAAACATTATTTCTCTAGCACAAGAAATTCAAAGATTATTGATGATATTAAGATTAATGCTTAAAATTAACAAATAAAATTTCATATTTTATATTTATTCGGTTTGTTCGGTTCGGTTTTGAAGGGTAAAAACCAAAACCGAACCAAACTACTACGGTTCGGTTCGGTTTTTTACATTTGATTTTGGTTTTTAGCGATTCGATTTTATTTGGTCACAGTTTAGTTTAATTTGATTCGGTTTTCGATTTTCGGTTTTCGTTTTTTTCGGACCCAGTGGTCAGCCCTAACCAGTATTATTATTATTATATGAAAAAAAATACGACTTTGAAGTATAATACCCGCGTGTTCAGAGTTACGCCGTCCGTATACCATATAAAAATGAAGAGTGGCCTAGCCAAACAAAAACCACACCCATTTCTCCTCCTTCTTCCTCTTCTCTCTCCCTTTCTCTGTACTAGATTTTTCACCCGTGCTTCGCACGGGATGATGTTAGTAAACAATAATTATTTACAAATATATAGAAATGTTGTGATAATGATAGAACAACTTATTTATTGTTTTTTAACAAAAGGAAATGGAGATAAAAAATTAAAAATTATTATATAGTTCCTTCTAAATAGTATTTAGTCTTCTTAGCTGGTTTTCCGTCATTATCACATATAATAAATTTCAATCTAGACGGTAGATGTTACTCTTGATACCACGGCATAAATTTGTCTATGAGTGAAAATTGAACGACTTAAGGAAACACCAATCTTTCCAAAGATTGTCTCTGACTCTTAAAAATGGTCATCACGTAACGAAGCCTCAAACGGGTGCCTACGCTGAAATGTGAGCGACAACTTTAGGTCAAATGGAGTCTAAGAAACTTATGTCCTTCATTTGTTCCAACATTGATCAACAAAATTTCAATATATTATTTTCTTAATTTGAGTACCAATTTATAATGGGTTTTTTTTTTCATTTTTTTCATTTTTTTACATTTGATTTTGGTTTTTAGCGATTCGATTTTATTTGGTCACAGTTTAGTTTAATTTGATTCGGTTTTCGATTTTCGGTTTTCGTTTTTTTCGGACCCAGTGGTCAGCCCTAACCAGTATTATTATTATTATATGAAAAAAAATACGACTTTGAAGTATAATACCCGCGTGTTCAGAGTTACGCCGTCCGTATACCATATAAAAATGAAGAGTGGCCTAGCCAAACAAAAACCACACCCATTTCTCCTCCTTCTTCCTCTTCTCTCTCCCTTTCTCTGTATTTTCTTCCTCCATAAATTACATCATGCTTTTTCTCCTCTTCTTTCTGCAAAATTTCCTAATCCCTCAACACCAAACGCCGCTCCTTTCCTTCCAATTCAGCTAAATCCCACTCCTCTTCTCTTTTCTTTCTCCCCTGTCTCTTAAATAATCCCATCAATCCATAGCTTAATCTTCAATTAATCTCGCACAGATAAATATGGAGAGCACCGATTCCTCCAGCGGGTCCCAGCAGCCGCAGCTGCCGCCGGGCTTCCGCTTCCACCCTACCGACGAGGAGCTCGTCGTCCACTACCTTAAGAAGAAGGCCGCCTCCGTCCCCCTCCCCGTCGCCATCATCGCCGAGGTTGACCTTTACAAGTTTGATCCTTGGGAGTTGCCCGGTAACAATTTTTTTTTTTCAGCGACTAGTTAAGTAAAGAGAAAATTTCGAAATACAAGTAAAAATGTTTGAAAATTTCAAAATATGATTGTCATATTTATGATCAAAATATGACAGCAATTATTTTGGAACGTTTCTCCGTGGCTTATGGCTTGTTTGGCCTCCTTTGTTTTCTTCTCGCGGTATAACTCGCGCGATCATAGATATGCGGCGGTAATTATATATACTTCGTATATTGTTATAACTTGTAACGTTTTTTTTTGGCAAATTCTGTTCATATGAAATGTATATTCTGTTTAATTACTTTTATTGTTGTGTAGCTAAGGCGACGTTTGGGGAGCAGGAGTGGTACTTCTTCAGTCCGAGGGACAGGAAGTATCCGAACGGTGCGAGGCCGAATCGCGCGGCGACGTCGGGCTACTGGAAGGCCACGGGAACCGACAAGCCGGTGTTGACGGCCGGCGGGACACAGAAGGTGGGTGTGAAGAAGGCGCTGGTGTTTTACGGCGGAAAGCCGCCGAAAGGAGTGAAAACCAACTGGATTATGCATGAATATAGGCTGGCTGACAACAAACCAAACAATAAGCCGCCTGGTTGTGACATAAACAAAAAGGGCTCTCTCAGGGTAAGTATATACTATAAGGTGGTCCGGATGTAATTAAACCTTAAAATTTTTACATTATATTCAAGTCATCAATCACACTTAAATTCTAAAGCATTTTCAAGGTTAATATCTTCCAAAAAAATATGGCCATTAGAACCATTCATATCATACCATACCAAGATAATAAACATACATACTTCCTTCACTGTGTTTTACAATTTAGTTCATGTTTTGAATTTTGGAATCAAACTTTATTTACTTGGAATATTTTACTTTATTGGTTACGTTTATTTTGAAGTCTATGAAAGTTAAACTCTGATCTTGATATGGGTTTGAAGGGATAACATAATAGTTAAGGTTAAACCTCGTATTAGATTGATCTTTTATTAGACACAACCTCGATTGTAACGTAACATATTACTGGACACAAGTTTTATCGTAGTGTAACGGATTACGTGTCTATAGATGTTTTCGGGTATTGCATTGACTTTCGTCATACTAAATTTCGACGTCATTGTAATTAACAACATGTCTATTGATATCTTGATTTTATCAAATACCCCTTCTCTTCAAGTTTGTGTAGTATTCGCACCTCCAAAGTCAAAGGTTGTTAACCTTGATCATCACAACCCCCTTGAACATTTGTTATGGTATACTTGTATATTTTAGATTGAAAATAGCAATTCATTTTACAATATATTAATAGATAATGATCAAATATGGAAATCAAATTATCAAAAGCTATAGAAGAGAAAACAAGCCCTTGAATAAGGGTGATCTAGTGATCTACCACATTATCATAATTGTAGTTGCTATATGCAATTAATTTTGATCATACTTGCATCTAATTTAACCATGGTTATGTGTTTCTATTTCTTCTTTTATCAACTAGTTGGACGATTGGGTTTTATGCCGGATTTACAAGAAAAACAATACACAAAGGCCAATGGATCATGAAAGGGAGGATTTGATGAATGATATGTTTGGAGGAGGAATTCCACAGTCTTTGCAAACTTCATCTCTTCAATTTGCACAACAGCCAAACAAGTTCCATCACCAAGCCCTACTAAAGGCCTCCAACTACGGCGCTTTGCTAGAAAACGACCAAAACATGGCATATGAAGGGATGATGGCCGGCAGCAATAATGGCTCGCCGCTTGTCGCCACCGCGGGCGCCAATAATCTCCTCCCCTCGAAACGTGCGCAACACCTCGCCGCCATGTACTGGAACGAAGACGCTCCTAGTTGTGGCGGCGGGGGCGGGGGCGGGTCATCGCCGCTCACCAAAAAGTTCCTCACTGACGACAACCACGGGGGCGGGCGGTCCGATGATCCGAACGGCGGTTCCATCGCGACGCTCCTCAGCCAGCTCCCGCAAACCCCATCAATGCACCATCAGCACAACGTCATGGGAGGCCTCGGCGGCGGCGGGGACGGCGTTTTCCGGCAGCCCTATAATGTCTCCGGCATGAATTGGTACTCTTGAGCCATTGGTCAACGGAAAAGTCAAACAGAAAACGTGCACATGCAACACCAAATATATCTGCCCATAATTCTTCAATTCTGTGTATCTACGTACCGCCAGATCAGAGCCGTTAAATTCTTGCAGCAGAGTGATGATCAACGGCTGTGATTGATCCTATTTGGATTGCATAATGAATTGACTGTTCGTTCGTACATAAAGCTAAGCTTAGGGTGATAGGTGAGTATCCATCGAAGACCGTTGAAGAATACTTGAAAAAGTATCGAGTTTTAGGTGAGCCCCCCACAAACATTATTAATCTATTTTTAGCCCCTCATTTTATATATACTTGATTTTTGGCTTGGTTGGTATAGTAGAGATGCAAAGGATTCTAGCTTGTAATATACTTATGTGGACACAAAATATACATACATGTAAACGTATAGGTTGTTATATTATTTTTTTCTTGTTCTTAATAAAAGGTATATGTATGTAAATTTGAATCAGAAGCGGCCAAACTTTGCACTACATGTAAGTTAGTTTTAAAATTTTAATACCAGGAAAGAAGTTCAATTTTTTGTGTATATATATGTTTATTAACACAGTTTATTAACACATCTTTTCTATTAAAAATGTGTTAATGAATGTGTATAAATTTACGCGACGTAGCTGTTTTTATCAGTGCCTCTTTAACTACAATGTATGGTCACAATCTTTTCAAACAAATTTTATGTGTTGTTACTATTTAAATCTATCCCACACTAGTGACACGGATAAAAATATAAATCAACATATAAAGACTTGAACTACTTTTTCTATGAGGTCTTTGTTCATCTTACAAGATCAAATAGGAGTAGTTCAAGCCTTTGTAATTTCACCCGTAAGAAAGTGACTCGTTGGAGCAGATCAACCTTATAGCTCATGTACTTATTATTTAGGCTTATCAGGATGTAATTGCTCATTGGAACTTACTTTATTTTGATGACATATTAAGTTTTGAGCTTCTGCCTCAAAAGGTCAACATGATAGAAGAAGTTGTTCAAACCTTTATAAATAATTCTACTTTTCAAAGAAAAATATCATAGTATCATTTGAATTTCACAAAACGTTAAATGAAATGCATATAAATAAAAATTACAAACATATGTGCGTTTGTGTATTGAGTCATGGATTATTTCGAAGACACTATTTCTATGTGCATATCCACAACTATATAAATTAAACTTTTGAAAAGTGTATCTTTAGAATGCCTATTTAAATCATCCATGATATGTAGCGCATGATAGCAAGTGGAGTCTCTAGTGTGCCACATAGCATGGTGCTATAATCCTCTAAAAGGAAATTTATACTAAGTAATGTCATAATACTTTGCTGGAAAATGAGGGAAATAGAAATAAGGAAAGTTGGGATTCCATTTTTCACCTGCTGTTGATGGATCATGCGAATTGTTGCCAACTTGACACGACGTTAGGTACGGAAAGCTCATTCTTCTCGGTGATAAATAAAGCCTTGGGTTTTTGTTAATTGGTTCCATACTTTCATTTGGTGATGAATGTTTGTTGTACAGATAATTTGTACAAACTTGTTGTACACACTCTAGTTTCTAGTTGTTTGTAGGCAGAGGTAGCTTAGCTTATTCAGAAGCTCATGTGTACACAAGCAACTAAGCAGTGTGTACAACAAAAGTCTACAAATAATGTATACAATTTACGTGTTTTTGAAGATCGTGAGTTTGTAAGACTCTTTAAAAGTTAATTACTTTACACATGCTTTCTCCATCGTGCTAGGATTGTCTCATCTTTTCTTTTATATTTGTCCAACAAAAATTGTCTCATGCCAAATTTGGTAAAATTTGTGTGCTTTAAATTGTACCGCCTCCTGCCGTTGCTGCCCCGCCGCCACCTACCTTTGTCCACCAATATTTAGATAGACCTCTCATTCAGCAATAGCGCCTCTAGTTTAATTTCCCAAAGTTAGAGTTTAAAAACTCTAACTTTCCTTTTTTGAACGTTTCAGCTAAAGGTTCTCATTTTCTAGAAAACCATTAACACTTGTAAATGACAATTCAGCCACCCATCAAATTTTAAAAATAATACATCTATAACATTATAGTTATCATAAATAACTTCATTATATTATATACTCATCAAAATTATTTCTCAAAATATACTCGAATTACATATTAAATTAATGTCAAAAGAAATGTGCCGTTTTGCAATGAAAACTTTTAAACGCGAAGATAGTTTTAAAATTATTTCTCAAAGAGGCATGAAAGATAGAGAAAATCTTAAACCAATATTTAAATAAAGCGTTTAATTTGAAGTGACAAGTGACTATATAAGTAAAGTATATAGAAATAATTTCATTTCTGGTCCTACGAATTTTGTGCTACTTCCACCTTTAGTCTATGTCTTTTACTTTGTTCATTTTTTATACTTGACTAATGTTTTTTTTAATAGTTTGTGGTCTTTTTCCAACAATTTTAATTTAACCATCAAAAAAATGCCGGAAGGACCATATATGGGCGAAAACACATTAATCATGTATCAAAAATGGAGAAAGTGAAAAATGTGGATTAAATGTGAAATTGACCTAAAACTCGTAGAACTAAAGGTGGAATTTATGCCAAGTATATATCGGTATTGACATTTATATTGGCTGTAAAGAACAACATCATCAGTACATCCATCTATACGGAATACATAGTAAGTTAGGATGTTTTCTTTTGGACTGTTTTCAGTCCCAGACCAGACCAGACTTAAACAGACCAGACCAGACCGACATAAACAGACCAGACCAGACCAGACCAGACTTAAACAGACCAGACCAGACCAGACCAGACCAGACTTCCGTAGTTATAAAATACACAGAGACCAGACGTTTACCAGACCAGACCAGACCAGACCAGACCAGACCAGTTCAGACCAGACCAGACTTAAACAGACCAGACCAGACCAGACCAGACCAGACCAGACCAGACCAGACTTAAACAGACCAGACCAGACCAGACAAGCAAATTTCAGTCCAAAAGAAAACATCCTTAGTAACCAAGTCCACTTTCAAAAATATTGAAAAATAAAATATACTCTGTATCTTATTCTCACAAATCGTATTTATGCCAACATAAAACCCGTCATCAATATCTAAGGATTTGTCACATCAATAATAATATGAATTTCCATAAATATATTCATAATAATATGTACTTCGTAAATTACAAGTTTGCATGTCAATTGCTTCAACTTTAAACAAGTGATTTTTTAAAGTGATTTTGGGAAAAATGATTAATAGTAAAAGTTGGTAGTGTTTGAAAAAAAAGTGATTCTGAAAAGGTAAAAGTTGATAGTGTTTGGTAAAATAAGTACTTTTTGTGTAATAGAAAAAGTGAGAAGCAGTTAAAAGCACCCTTCTACATGCTTCCAGCTTTTAGCTTTTAAGTGATTAATTTAAGCAGAAGCTGTCATTTGAAAACACTCTTTTCAACTTTTTTAAGCCAAAAGCTAAAAAGTGCTTTTTTAAAGCAATCCCAAACACTCCTGTAGTTTAACTTGATTACTTCATTGCTTCTTGCATTTTTTCCTTTTTTTAGTTCTGAATTGTGTGAATCACACTCATGTAGCTAATTAACATTAAGTTTCTCACTTGTAATTGCTGAAAGAAACACTTTTATACTGACTAGTTATTCTTTATTTTTTTTAGGGAAAAATAAATAAAATACCCTCAACTTTGAAGAGGTGTGAAACACCCTAATATAAACTTGCATATGTAATTTAAATACCCCAAAATTTATATAAAAAGTTATTTTAGCACCATATATAGTCAAGTATTATTTCTTAAAAAAATGTAAATTTATGGTGTTAGTTGCATAATTGAAAATATTTTAGAATTCATGAAGACACAAATAACATTCTAAACTTTCATTAGAAAATAGATAATGTTACCCCCAATCTATATAATTGCAACACTTTTAATTTTCTATTATAAATTGTGCAATTAACCCCATAAATTTACAATTTTGAAAAAAATAATACATGACAATGGTACAAAAATAACTTTTTATTTAAAGTTTAGGCTATTTAAATTACATATACAAATTTGGGGTGTTTATCTCACACCACTTCAAAGTTTGGGATATTTTTATTAATTTTCCCTTTTTTTATCATTCGACCATTAAGAAAATACGCCCTTAGGATTACGTTCATTTTAGTTAAAAAGATCTGGCCATTCATTTATAAATTTTTCATAATAGCACAAGGGCGGGTCCCGGCGGAACGAGTACCAAAGTGTCTATCACAATGGACGTGCTGTCTACTGATTGAGGAATACCTAAAAATCATTAGGATTCTTTGAATATTTGAAGTGCATAATTCACAATTTCATAGTCATTTATCACACCAACATGTTTACTAAATATATTGGCGTACTTTATATTTTTGGGGGGCATTGGCATACTTTATATATTTGCTCAGATAATTGAAAGAATAGAAGTGAAAGTATTCTAAAACAAATACTATCACTTAAAATGCATGCAAGTAGAAAACCCCGATTAATGAAATTGGCAAAAACACTTTCTTAATGTAAAATGTCTAATTCTTCAGTCCTTAACCGATAAGATTCATCATGAGACCAAAATGTCTAAAACAACACTGGTCCCCTACTCCTCTAGGCTCTAATCCTCTTCTCTCATGTTATAAATATGATTTAATTATTAGTGTTGACCAAATCTCTTTTCCATTTCCTAATTAGATACGTCCAAAATAAACTCATCACAATTACTATTGGTAAAATGCGAACGTTAAACGGCTAAACGATACATCCCAAACAGAATTTTTGGGCTACTAAATTAAAAAGAATGAGAGTGGGTGTGGCTTTCATTATTCTTTATCTCTAAGGTGGCCAAGTATATTCCACCGACTACTGCTACTATATCGGACAGATTCATGGTATTTTTAAGTACCAAGTCCAATATAATTCAACTTGGAATATCGGGCCGGGCATATAAACTAAAACATGAATAAAGAGTTTATTCAGCAACTCAAATTCGAGCTGAGTTGAACATATATAGCATGTAATCCATCTATGATCTCCAATTCCAACTATTTTAAGAGTTATGAATTGAAAAAGGATTAAATAAGCATCTATTTGTACTATCTTTAACCTGTCACTTAAGCTCCTGTATTAAAAAAGTATTTGTATCATATAAGTACACATACTTTTAAAATACAATCAGCCAGCCATTTCATCTGCAGGTTATTTTTTGAAAATTAAATTAGGAATATCGCTAAATTTTTCGAAGTATAAATAATTGAATAAATAATATAATCAATCATCATTTACCCAGTGCCGCAAAGGCTCCCACCTACGGTGTGGTAGGGAGGGTCGGATGTACGCAGTCTTACCTCTGTACTAAAGCACAGAGAGACTGTTTCCGGATGACCCATAATGAAAATCGCGTCCAAAATTACATAGACTGACTGCTGATTTATAACAAAGAAGAACAGACAGTTTGGTGAACCATTTTGCTTTAAAAGCAAAATTAGAGCAAAAGCAGAATCAGAATCAGTTTTCAGAAGCTG